GCCTTCACAGGTCGATGCACAGTCTCCAGTAATCTGTCTCTCTGATATTCCCTCCTCAGCCATCCTCATCTCCAAGCCGACCAGTCCAGGAGTGACTCTAATACCCGCAGCCCGGCCCATCCTCACTCCATTGACTGCTACTCCTGCCACCGCTGATCGACACCCGGTCTTTTCTCCACTCTACAATTCTTGTAAATATTTTCGCACTGTTGGCACTGTAAATAAATCCCACTGCTTGCACCGAAGCCAGCCGCCTGGGTCTGTTGTTTACTCTGCTCGTTCATCTGTGTGTCGAGCGTTTCTAACAGAAAGAACTAGCCAATATGGACCCTGCTGGCTCCGGTGCAAGTAGCGCCTCTGCTCCTGCACACATCACCGCCCAAATGGACAGAATGGCTCAGGCACTGCAGCAGCAACAACAAGACATATCCTCATTAACCCAACAAGTAGCCCAACTCACCTCACTCCTCCTGTCACAGCATGGTCACGCTGCCACCCCAGATCCACTTTCAGCTCCCCGTTCTGCCAGTCCCCGCCGAGATCCACCTATTCCAGAAACAGACACGTTTGATGGCAGCGTGGACAAGTGCCGGGGTTTTCTGCTGCAGTGCCGCCGGGTGTTCGATCAGCAACCACGGACATTTCGCACAGACAGAGAGAAGACCAGTTATATAATCAGCCGGCTGCGAGGGAAAGCACTTACTTGGGCCGAGGCTGCGGACACCAGTGGCATGATCATCGGCACCACCATCCACGAGTTCCTGGAGGAATTACAGACAGTTTTCTCACCGTCATCTCATCAGGGCCAAGCTGCCAGGGAGCTTATGACTATCCGCCAGGGGGTCGTCATGTCTTGGATTACTCCATTGACTTCCGGGTTCTTGCAACGGAGGCCGGCTTGGAGGACCGCGCGCTACGTGCGGCCTTCTGACACGGCCTCAATGACAACATCAAGGCGGAATTGAACACTCGTGACAAGCCCCCTTCACTCCGCTCCCTGGTAGACTTGGCCATACGCATAGACAAACAGCAGGGCAGCAGTCAGCCCCCCGGACCCGCGTCATGACTACTCTACCTGCCGAAGCCCGGGTACCTCTCCGCATGGGGGACTCTCATCTCTGCACCACCCACAGAACGGAGGAACCCATGGAACTGGGACATGCCCGTCTAGACCCCGAGGAATGGGCCCGCCGTATTCGCACCGGGTCATGCCTGTACTGTGGAGCACCGGAACACCTCATTGCCATTACTAACAGTTATATACATGTAGAGCCCAACTGTAGCTATGTAGTGAGCGTGAAGGGCTATCACAAGTGTCCAGAACAGCCTCAGATCTTCTTGTTAACTGTCTAACACCATGGTTCAGAATCTCACATGGGAGCTCATTGGGTTCATAATATACTGTATGATTTTCCCAATCAGTCAGTGACGCCTCATTAGCTGTGTACAGTCATCTGATATTTGTAATGTTTCTCCTTTTTATTCAGGGTTTTCCTGGAATTTGTTATCTAGAAATATGTTCTGCAGTTAAGAAAACTGTGTTAAAGAAATGGTTCAACATTTTGGGTAGACAAGAACCAAGAGGAGACACCTAGCCTGGCTCTGTCTAACGATAACAGTCAGTTTATTCTAAATCTCGCTATATTTGATGTGTTTAATCTGCACAAAAACCAGTGTGGAAAAGAGGCAGTGATTTTTCCACAAAATGAGTGGAGACTAGAAACATGCTGCAAGAAATAGTCCAACAAATCAGGGTCTGTTAAAAGAATAATGTGGTGCCTAAAATGTTGAGCTATTCCTGTGTGATAATACTTTATTATAAAATAGCAAAAATGAAATATAAACAGGTAGAAAAGAAATGTTATTAATTGATATGGAATTTAAATGTTATCCTAGAACATAATATTAGAAGGACTTTAATGAGTAAAAAAGATTTGGCACACAGTGTCACCACAAGGTCCATTAGTAGCTGTTCTGGAGCTTTTAGCACAGTATTCTTCAGGACACAGAGCTACAGTTGTGATGATACTGTAGAAGCTCACATTTCCCTTTGGAATCTCACTGTGCACTCCATTTGATCTGGAGCTTAATATGTAACATATGTTGAGGAAAGTCATGTGGTGCAACTGTCAACATTGTGTATAGTGTCAGACTTATAGCATAATTCTCATATTATATACAACTTATTGTATATAAGTAGAACTAATGAGGGCTAATCAAAATCATAAAGAGTATAATGTTATTAGAGGTGTTTCTAATATGTTGTCCACCCCTTTTATATCAGTGAGGAATGAAAACATTTGAAACAACTGACAGTAAAACATGATTCAATTCAACAGCTCCAATAACTGCAAAATGATTGTAAGGTTGAATCAACGCTTCAGTTTCAACACAATCTGAATTACAATCCTCTGAAAGGTAGGATCATATCACACTAGTTTCACCCAAGTGTAACCTATAAACTGAATACTGAGTGTATTATGATAGATGTTAAACATATTTTCTCCCTCTGGTATTTGTGTGTTTTCAAAGAGATATGATACAAATTTAACAAAAGCAGGGGGATTCTGCAAACAAGTATCAGGAATCAGGTTGCGGCTTGTTCTTGTTTCATTTATATTTCAGGCTATGCTCAGGGTGCTTTTGACTTTTATATTTCAACACTATTTGTGTATATTTTCCCTCCATCCCTCCATCTGAATTCACTTGGTGCATATCCATAACTAGTGCAGCTTTTGTTCCAGGGAAGATTTAATCACCATTTACTGGGATCAATGGAGATTTGCGTAGGTGGGGTAGAAAAGTAACAAAAAGAGGTTACTGTTATGGTGAGTGTGTTCTTGTCTGTCCGTCTCTACCTGCTGTCCGAAGCTTGCATCTCTGTGGCCTTCTGAGCTTTCCCAGCATGCTTTTCTTCACGCTGTAATGTCACACCTGAGTATAAGGTGACGTTCTGGAGCCTGGGGCGCTGAGGTCAGCTTTACACCACTGTGCCAGGAGGAAAGGTGCACACAGGTCCACCTTAAGGTAACGCAGGCATTGGATGGATGTAAGTGTTGTGGTTTTGTTGTATATGTGTGTACACAGACTGTCATGCCAGTGAGACAACACTACATTCCCACTGCCACCCATCACATAATGATGTTTCGATTAAGTGTCTTTAATTGGCCTCATGAGCAAAATAATTCGCATCACTAGCTGCTAATGAGGAAGAAAGACACATGATCCTTAAAGAGTAAAACAATATGTTACAATGTTTAAGTGTATCTAAGAAACCTGAATACATAATTGTCACTGTTGTTACGACATATGACACTTATATAATCACCGTCAGTTACTTCTAAATGTCTTCAGAACCTGACATGCATTGTATCATAGTGTTATCAAGTGTGTGTATGTGTTTGTGTGCGTGTGTGTTTCTTGAGACCTTGTCAGGAATCTCTGACAGGCTTTATAATAACCTTTTAGCAATGGGTTAGGCATCCTTATGAACCATAAACAGCCAAGGCACAGTAGAAGAAGAGCCCCACAGTGTATTCAAGGTTTTTCATTTACAGTAAGTAAGGGGCACAGTGTGTGTGTGTGTGTGTGTGTGAGAGAGAGAGAGAGAGAGAATGAGAGAATGGCGTCACTGCATACCTGTGACAGGTGTTGTCATCCTGATGCTATTATTACCACTCATGAAATGACAGTAACGACTATTCCGGAAACACCATGCTTACCTTTAAAGAGATCTAAGCCAGGTCTATCAAACCATCTTGACACCATCATGCTGTTGCTGGTACAAATTATGGCTATGACTGTTATTTCTACTAATAAGACTTGTAGCTTGAAGCAGCAAATAACAAATGTTTCAGGAGCATATTTACAAAAAGATTTGTACCTTTAAACTATCGATTCTTTTAAAACTATAGCTACAAAAATCCCCATGTCAGAGTTTCAGCAGGTTGTCACACATTACTTGGCCTTGGTGAAGGCTTGATTTTTACCTTGGTACTAGAGCTTTGTTTACCCTTCACTAGCCATGGCGGGTGTGTTCAGTGACTTCAGTAAGGTGACACTGATTAGTGTTTACATCAACAACTTGCAGGCTTTTATTTTCCAAGAATCTCAAATGCGGGCTGAATGAAGGAACTGTAGGTCAGCAAGTGGATGGGAAAAGAGAACACACTGACAAAGCAGTTAAACCGCAGCATGATGGGGCCGTCTTTTTGATAAGGAACAATGTGTTTAAAGGTTCAGAACAGGATACATCTTTATTCTTTCAAAATTAACCCTGTAACATTCTGGTAGTGTTAGGGTGATTTTTATTTTTAGATAGAAATGGATATAATTATCCTCACAGTAGCAGTAGTAAAAATGAAAGCAGTCTAATCCAGCATTCATGCAATAAATGTTCCGTTTTTATTGAAACTGTTTTAGAGAGGTGTTGATTCAACTTAAAGGATGTAGTAACGTGTAGCTTTGCAAGCTACCAATTACATCACACTGGAAGAAGAAGAACTAAGCTAACAAAGCTACTCTAGGGAAAAATCTGTTTGGTGAATGAAAGTGAGCTTTAAAAAGTAATTCTACTTCACACACACACACACACAGGGGATCAAATGGACAGTGTATATGTGATATAAAATTATAACAAAATATAATACAAGAAATTCACATTCCAGCAGAAAAGTCACTTGGTTGAGTATATTACCTGAGACGTAAACCTGTCTTAAATAAAACAATCCACAGTGGCCTTTTCACAAGGTGAAAACTGCAAGGAATGTTGTATTTATGTTGTATACAAATCTGGAGATACAGTATCTGACAACAACTAAAACAGTAAAAAAATATAATATCTTGCTATCTCACACCTGTTGAGCCCTTATGACCGAAATGGACCTGTTGTCTTGCTTATCAGTTTTATACCATTTTACTTGCACAATCTTAACTAAGTCTTCAACTTGCACCTTTAAGACACTGGTCTAATGGGCCTTTGCTTTTACTTGTCAGAGCAGAATCTTTTGTTTATATGACACATGAGCTGTCTTGCAGAGCTCTTATCCAACAGGCGGCTCCACAATGGTAAAATAAACATTAAAAAAGCAGTCCTTTTGGCAAAAATGTAATTTGAGTCATTATGCAAATAAGAATATACTGTAGGTTGAACCACCAGAAAGCTACTGCAAAATGTGGTCAAACTACTATTTTAGTTAGATGTAGTTCACTACCCCTCAACACAGTGTACTTTGCTGTCAAATAGCCTACTGACAGGTATTTCTAATATTTTGTCCACCCCATTTATAGCCTATCAATGACCATAGAATAAATATTAAAAACACATTTCACTGTTACACATTACATTTCAGTAGCACCATAAACTGTCTTTTGCTATAAATGAACATATCTCAGGACAACAAAGCCACATTTAGTACAGAAAATGAAAGTGGTCAAACTTTTTCTATTAATGATTTGGTTTGTTGTCAGCTTGGTAACTGAGCAAGCAGCTGGTTTATTATCAATTATACTATTTCAACCTCCATATAATTTTAGTTTTATTTATTTGTTTATTTATTTATTTTACTCATATGGCAATAAGCTATAAGGATAAGATAAAGATGACATTTTTATTTGTGTGCAATCTAGTTTTGATATTCCTTCACCTCTGGCAACAAAGTGCATCTAACTTTTAGCTCATCAGGTCATCAGGATGCCCCTAAAGGATGGCACTTTCTCTCCATTTTCTCTTAAAATAATTCCTTCCACTGTGTACCAAGAAATGCTACCCTTGTGTTCAGCGGCACTGCAATTAAATTCACTGAAAATGTGAGCTGTGAAAACAAAATGCTGTCTTATGCTTCCCCCTGCTGTACAGAGCTGAACTGAACTCAACTGCAGTTTGAGCTGAAATTTGCTGTAAACAAAACGAAAACTGCACCAGGCATGAGGAAACTAGAAATGTTGTTTGGATAAAATATGAAAAAGACAAATTATTCTAATGTCTAATAATAGAAAAAAATGGGTTGGAAGAAGCTGAACACTAAAATTAGCTAATTAATGACAGATAGACCAGTAAAATATTTGATCAACTTTATGATCGGAAAAATTAAATTAAATTAGAGGTAAAAAAAAAAAATGTTTGAACCAACTGTCTGGAGGTTGAAGGAAAACAATCACATTTTTACATATGTCTTTACATGTATTATTGTTATATTAAATTATATTTTATAGTCAGATATTGACTTGACAGTTTGGTCTATGCAGCCATTCACAAGTAACTGAACAGTAAATATATAAGATAAAACACACCTATAGCAGTTTATATGCATCACAACCTTTGCAATGCAACATGTATTTTCAACTTGGGATGTCAAAAATGAACTCTGAATTTTTGTTTTAGAAAACTTGTTGCTCAATGTAAGATACTGCCACCTGCAGGCACCACTAGGCATCTCCTTTCCAAAGGCCTATGCAATGCATTGACTACACGGAAAATGAAACTTTAACTTTCGATTTGCTGAGAAACAGCTGCTGTGACAGATAGTGACGCTGTGCTCAGAGCAGCTTTCGGTACACAAACGTCGTTTAATTGCAGCGTTTTGTCTCGTTTGTCAGAAGCTCTTCACATAGATCCTATTTGTTCACCGAGCACCATGGTCAAATCAACAGGTACACATAGACTACCTTTTGTGTACTAGTTTAAATGCATTTTAATTTGGCTAGATGCAGGACTTTACAAGCGGCTAAACAGATGATAGTTTCCTGATTTACTCGTGGGATAACTGTTGTGGATTTTTAAGTGTGTGGGGACACACAAAGAAAGACCTATCATTAATTAAATAATTATTAAGATTAAGAAGCACCACGTTCAACTAAAGGCTGAATTAAAGAGAAAAGGGTGAATAACAGATTGCATCTAGTAGGTAGTCTCAGAAGTTTCTGATTGCAAGTACCATAACGAGTTGATTGAAACCTATGTAAATGTAAAAGTAAAAGTCTGAAGTCTGTGCTTTTTACTTGAAAAGGATTGATGTTTCCACTACTGGGTGTAACTAAACGGTAAGTTTTAAAAACCCACGCATGTTAGATGTCTGTTAATTGTTTCTGTAACGTTGGAGAGAATTGCTGTAAGGCTGGAGAAGTTACTATGTCTGTATTATGCAATTCAGATTAATTCGTCGTGCTGTTCACGTTCATATTCTGGCTCAAGCATGTCAGGTAGGATTTGAGGTATTGTCACTGTCGAAAGCGTAGCTTATTTGCCAAAGTCTTTTTAATGTGTTGCTCTGGTTTCCTGGCCGGCAATAGAAGTTGTGCGCATTCACGAGCCATCCTCTTGTTTCCAGGAGGAGGCGCTCCTTGTGATATCGGGTTTTATCGTTCTGAAATAAATACAGGCTATTTGGAGTTATGGTCGGTGCAAAGCTAATCTAGATGTACCAATATTAAACATTAAATGGCTGGAAACGAGCACAAGATTTGGGTGTGCGGATCTGGTACCTGTAAAACTACATGGTTTGCATTTTTTTTCTTCCTTGCAGTTTGGTGTCCTAAGTTGTGGCAGGAAATCTTTGATGAGTTGCTGTACAACGAGCTGGACTATGAAGACCAGTGGACCCTACACTTTGACTACAATTTGACTAATGAAGTCACCAAGGAAAAGAGGAAGACAGGATGGAAGGTCCACAGCCACTGTGCCCGTGGAGGGTATGTATAATGGCTAAATACACAGACTACATTGTTATACTTTCTCAGACTCAACTTCAATTCAATTGCTTGTCATGTGATGAAATTATGGTGTGACAGGAAGCAGGGTTGGTAGTAATAGCGTAATAACAGTGTCATTCTGTGGAGAAACATGTTACTGCATCCTGGTTGAAGAGGGCACAAGTTGTCTTGATTATAATTTAACCAACAAAATTTTGGAATAACTGACCTTGTTCAGTTGCAAAGGAGAAAGCAAATTTCAAAAGCCATAGACCTGAGAATACCTGTGTACCTCTTTTCATGGCTTGTCTTTTAATTTCACCACAGTTTCCAGTGTAATACCTGCTCCAGACGTTGGTCTTCAGTCAAGGTGACGGTGTTATTCCATTACCGGCTAAAGAAGGACCAGGGGACAGTGATCATGCGGCCCTTTGGACAGTCTTGTCACCGTTGCAGCAATGAATATAACAATAAGTATTATCGCCCTGGTTTTTTCGAGGTGGAAGTGAAACGTGCTTTGCTCAGGTTGTTTGCCAAAATTCGAAAGAATTGTTATGGGGAACAGGATGACTATGATGACAAATCAGAAGTCCGTAACAAGGTGTTGACCAAACCTCATGAGGCTGGCCTGTGTGAGGCCTGCCAGCTGGGCATTTGCTGTAAGGATGTCGAATAGAAGGGGTGTTGGTGGGCACTGTGGGGACCGTTTACACACTCACAGTGTGGGGAATAAGCCTACTTGTGGGGACCAAATGCTGGTCCACCACTTCACTACAGAATTTTATGGGGACAACAGGGTTTAGATTTCTCAGTATCCAGGAAATGAATTTAAATCAATGTAAGTTACCTACAATGAATCAAAACAAAACTCTGTGAGTGTGAGATTAGAACAGTTTTGGTAGATTGACATCTGATTGAGTGCTGGTTCCTCAAGATGTCCCTTTCCAATTTGCACATAGCCTTTATTCTTAATATTTTGAAGATAGCTAGTTATGCTGTTGTATATGTTAAAGTTGTATATGAATATTATATATTATCAGGACAACCAATAATTTTATTACAGTAAATATATCACTTTGTATCTTTTTGTATTCTATTTCCGTGGTGGCAAAGTGTACAGCTTGACCATATTTTGCTTTTGGGTTAATTGTTATTGCTGATTTCACATTAGACCAACAACTGGTGAAATGTAAATGAGCACAATTGGACTTATTCCTCCTATTTTATTCTACTTTATATGTCTACTGCACAGATTGTTTTACTCCACTACATTTAAGTGATGTAACCTAGGTTACTTGGCAGATAAACATTTGACATGCAAAACAGATGATCGGCCTATAGGCAGTTATGGGTTAATATATCCCATTAAAAAGATCTCCACCTTGGCCAGCTACAATATTTAAAATCCTGGTTAACAGTGGCCAAGGCTTTGGGAAAACACTAATATAAAATAAAAAAGTTTTAAAGTGTATTTTTAAATAAAAATGCCCATAATGAAATAAGATATCCAACAAAATTGCCATTATGAAATAGGTTAAGTTGAGTTATACATATTATTCTATTGCACACCTTTTTATTTTTATTTTCTTTTTGCTATACAAAGTACTTTGAGAGCATCTGTACCATAGTCAAATTCCTTGTGTTTAAACATACTTGTCCAGTAAAGCTGATTCTGCTTTTAATAATTTTACGCAATTATTTATAAATTGTTTTAGTTGGCTTGTTTTTTTTTTTTTTGTTTTTTTTTTTACAAATTATTCGTATGATTATTTTATAATGCTCCCATTTGTTTGCTATTGAACACTTTGGGACTCCGTATACAACCAACCAGCGAACACAGACAACCGACCAATCAGGTGAGAGCCCTACGTGTGGCAGTTGGTGCCGAACATGCGCAGTGGTCTTTTGTTTTTGGCAGTAGCAACAAGATATTGAAGCGATCCAGCCGGTCTCGCCCCTCCGCTTTCAGTAGAATATCATCCTCGTCAGGTCCTGTGCCAGAGAGGATGGTCCAGCGGAAAAACAGCCGGGGATGCAAATGACACTGTTGACATGATGGCGTTCGGTTTACGCAAGTTTCTGAATGTACGGCTAATGAGCAAGTGAAACGACCGTGTAAGTAAGACGGCGGCGTTAGGTAGTTGAGGCTAACATAACGCGCTAACATAAACCTGAGAGAAAGACGGTTTGCTAGCTTCGCTTACGGCAGGTAGGTATGCTGCTGCTTTGGGTGTTAACATTTTCCCGTGGCGCTGTCACAACTGAGATAAAACATTGCTACCTATGTTTAAGTGATTTGTCGGTAGAATTTCGGACAGCCTATACCTAAGCACTCCCTTTTCCAGTAGGGTTAGTAATTCACCCCGACTGTCAGTGTGTTGAACAAAGGAGCTTTAACCGAGGGGCCACTCGGACAGAAGCATGCAGACAGAAGTCGGCTGCTGTTTGTTTTGTGCTCCATTTCATGCTGACACACTATTTCAGGGATAACCACACGAGGTCTGACCTGAATATTTAGCTCATACACGGTGACCTAGCTAATTTTGGTATCTTAAATGCCGAAGTGGTTGTACTGTACCTCATTATGCAGTCTTTCTATCTCGCAAGTTCTATGTCTCCTTTAACTACTTGACTTTTCCCCCTGCAATTTACGGGGGAGCATGATCCACTTTTAGTTTTGGTTTAGGTTATTTATGTCGATGTGCATTCGCTTACAGTAAGTTTATTTAGCTGAGAGTTAGTGTTGATAACTGCAGTGACACTACAGTGAGTGTCTGTGATAATATCAGAGTAGTAACTGTGGATTTTACTTTTAAGGTGCTGGAAGGTAGACCTGGAATTTGTTTCAGATGCATAATGGTATGATATTAATATCTTGATATGGCAGACTGCCGCTAATGTGTGTTTTCAACAATTCTTTTTATAATCAGTGCATCATATACACACTTTGGTAACATATTATAGATGTATTGATACTGAAATTATTTGTTAGTAGAGACACTGATTTGACTAAATCAATTTGTCAAAAAGGGAGGGCCTAAAACATCTTATTTTATTCCACCAACCATCCAAACCCTAAACATATTCACCTTCCAGCGATGAAATGCAGAAAAGCTTCGGCCTGTATGGTCTTTTTTGATAGAACAATATTTAATATTTGCAGGTTAATTTTCTGACAAGTAATTAATTTGTCATTTTAGCTCAAACCCCAGTCGCACCCAAAATATCATAATAAATTGCAATTGTGATGCTTGTTTTTGTCATCATGTGTGTATTTCTGGCTGGGTTTTTGAGAAACCAAGATTGCCATGACACCTTGTAAGTGGGGATAATCACATACGATTCATGTGATTTGGGTTCCTGAGCTCATGAGTCATTAAGTTTTGATAAATACATAGCTAAATATGAGGAATACCATATGTACTAGAGGCCTCTACTGTGTAGACCTGTGGTATGAGTGTAACAATGTAATTCATAAGTGCGCCTCTGATCCTGGCTGGGTTTAAGATTAATAATACAAGTGTCCAGCCAATGAGGAGTGAAATGCATCTTCGGCATCATTCTGAATGATGTGTAGGCTCAAAGAGCTTTTGTAAAAGTAGATAATTGCACTGTAACTGCCAAGTGCAAACAGCAGGACTTATGATCTCTGGAATTCCAAAGTTCCTCCATAACAATACTTCCCGTTCTTATTTAGTATGAGACGGAGAGAGGCTGGCAGATATACACAGAAGAGTGAGGTGAACTCAAAGTAAACCAGTGTGTACAGAACAGAGACCCAAGCAGACTGACCTATTGACTGTAGTTAATAGGTTTACCCCACCACCACCTCTCCAGATATGCAAACAAGGTCTGGTCTCCTGCATGCATTGCAGGAGCTGAACTTTTCAAAATCTTGGCTATTATTCACCTCTCTGTGGCCCATATGTTTCTGTCTGTCAGTGTGTGTTTTCCCTGTCTGTGTCCCTCTCTGTCATTGTGTAGAAGTGGGAGGCACAAGAAGGGAAGCAGCCAACCACGTTATTCAAATGTTCCAGAGCTCAGCCAGTGGCCAACTGTAGCCCAGCTAAAAGAGGCTCTTTGTGAGGGCCAGACAGATGGCCATAGAGTGAAGACTGTAATGATACTCTCAATGGCCCAACACACACACACATGTACAGACTCCACTCATTGCAGGATGTAATAGTGTGTTTGTGTGTGGGAGAGTTTGGTAAGACTTTAAGTAAAAGAAGCAGAACACATTGATAAAGAGTGATTATGTACAACATGTGACAACAACCTGTGTGTGTGTGTGTTTCCCATATTTCTTCCCTTTCATCGCACTGTTATTACTTTTTGCAATGCATGACTTAGTAGTGTGTTGTGATATAGAAAATACTTGTCATACTAGTGAAGTAAGTTTAAAATTCATAGGAAAATAAGAAAGAAAATGAAATCACCATAACTCTGGAATCCACTGGAGGTCTACTGTATAAGGTGTTGCTGGGGGATAAATCTCAGCTGTAGCATCCATAGCTCTGAGCCTCTTGATTCTGTGGTTTAGTGTCTGAGAGGCAAAGCAGAACTGGTTTTGACCCAGAGTATTAGTGCTGCATGGTTTCACACACACACACACACACACACACACACACACACACACAGCCAGACTTTCATATCTCCAGTAGCAGACAATAATGTAAACAGCCTAATATATGCAAATTCTTCACAAATACAACCTAACTGGACTCGCAGTGGCCAGCTGTGGTAATATTGACCCTTTCATCAACCGACTAACAAATCTATGGCTTGGATATCATTAACCTTCGCCTCTTGCCTGCTTGCCCTCTTTAAAATGATCTCTCTGTCTTTCTATCTTCTTGTGTCCATCCCTCCATCTTCCCCTCTGTTCTTGGTAAGATAACCTCCTTACTGCAGCGCATCAGCTGATCGATAGATGGATGATTGATTTAGCCTCTCTCCCCCAACTTCTTCTGTCTTTCCACTTTCCTTCACCATCCATTTTTCCACTCATAGTAATTCTTTCCTCTTCTGATGTCTCTGTTTCCACCATTCTTTTCCTCTAATCAGTCTTCCCCTCTTTCCTACTTGCATTGCAGGAAAACACTGAACCATGGTGCTCTAAGTTGTGACCTGTGGTGAACAGGGGAGGAGGAAGAGGAGGAGGAAGAGGAGGAGGACGGAGGCGTAGGCAGGCAGACGGGCATCTGCCACAGCTCCCTTTAGGCAGCTTTTTTTAAAAGCTCAAAGCCATGGGCAACACAGCCACCAAGTTCCGCAAAGCCCTGGTGAGTGGCGACGAGGCCCTGGCGTGGCAGCTCTATGAGGGCAACCCTCAGTTCAGGGATGGCCTGGACCCGAACGCATCATATGGAGAGCAGTACCAGCACAACACAGCCCTGCACTATGTCTGCCGCCATGCCATGACACGTCTGCTCAGGTAACACACACATATGTATGTATAATATTTGCTTGTTTGTTTTTTGAGAAGTCAGTTAAATTTGGCAGTCATTTTCAAGGCTGCAGTTTGTAATGCAGTTATCTAATACAGTTACAAAGGCACTGAGTCATATTAATCAGAATCAAGTTTTCTGGCCAGGTGTGTTCAACACATGAGGAGTTTGACTCCAGTACAATGGCTGCTGTGCTGCTGTGTGTGTGCGTGTGTGTGCGTGCGCACGCACACACACACACACAGCCTTAAATTGAATAACAATTAGTAGTATGTCAGATTTGAGAATCACACTTTTCATAACTGAGTTTTCAAGACAAGTAAGGCAACTTACAGAGGTCTGTCACATATAGAGCCCTGGAGGGAACTTTCTAAAGCCTTAGAAATTTACTCTGCAGTGTAAACAGGGTTCCTGTAATAGACTGGTGACCAGTTCAGGGTGTACTCATGTCAGCTGGGATTGGCTCCAGCCCCCAGCAACCCTCTTCAGGTTAAGCAGTGTAATGGATGGATTCAAACAGAGTTACCTCAAATCAGACTGTTCAGACTGAAAATTTAACAGAAAGCCTACAGTATGTTACAAATTTGGCATGTAGCAAAAGGTCTGTTCACTTAGGAGACACAGAGGGTCTAATTAAACACTGAATTGCATTCTGGGAACTGTGAAAACATGCACAGCAGCACACCCTCCCTAGGATAATGTCTTAAGAGAAACAATAAAGGGGAGTCAGTGAGACTAAAAGAAAGGGGGGAAATTAAAAAACATACAGAGAGTAAAAAAGAGACACACCAGTGTCTCTTTTTACCCCCTGTAGGGATAATCAGGCTGCTGGCCATGAATGAGACAGCTGATTCTGTGACTCAATAGCCATTCTCACCTCCTCCTCCTTGCATTCTCCCCCTCTGCCTTTGCCGTTTTTGGGGAAGGATGCGAAGGTCACCGGAAGCAGTTTAAAAAGGCCAGTCATTTATCTGTACATGTGCATGTGTGCACATGTGTGTTTTCAGGAGGGGGGGTTACTGTGACTCTAAAACTGCTTAATGTGTCTGAGTTTGTGAATATAACACAAAGAATCAATTGGTGTGCTATTTGTGTCCCTTCCTACTAACCTATAATGGACCAGAGAGGCGTGCTGAATGCAGCACTCTGCTCCTGATAAGTATCAGAGGAAATTCTTTTTTGTTCCAACAGCTTGGTTGAACAGAGGGAAGCAGATAGACGACCGAGAAATCTCAGACAAAATAAAGACTCATGGAGAACGAGCGTAGGCTGCTAGATGCAGTCTGTTTTTCAGATTATTTATAACATGTATCTGCTTCATGTTTATTCGTCGTCCTCTTGTCATCTCCGTGGGTTGGATTGGCAAGTAATCCCGTGAGATGTGCAAACGGGGAAATCAGAAGAAGACCTATTACTGGAAAAACGGGCACAGTTCAGGAAGTGTGACCTTTCTTCTTCAAAAACAACTGTGATTACACGGCTTTAGAAATATGTAAATAACAACTGTGGCCTTGTTGCTCAGTATGAACAACTCAGTTTCTGTAATTTAAAGAAGCCAAGATAGAAATCAAATGCATCTGTCAACAACTTCTGTTTTTAGTTTTCTTTTAAATGTTGTGTGTACATATTCCCTGAGGTTTCCCAATTGTCAAATGACTATATGGTCTTAATTCGGTTTGGTGCTTGACAATTGCACCAAAATGTGACATCCCCTAGCATGTTGCTTCTAGTATAGTGATATTGGGGTCATCCATCCTGAACGTTGGTCTTTGTATGTGGGTGTTTGTGTGGAGGTGGTTGAGTAATTACTGATTATTGCTATGCGGGTGAATTGTCAGTTCACTGTCATTAGGGGGAGGCTGCAGGGGCTTGTGACTGACAGGATAAGAAGGTCAAAAGTGGAAGAGCAGGGCTGAAAGGCTGCACAATAAGGAAACATTCAAACACAAATTCAGTAGTGGCTACTACTGTGTCCAAATTGCAAAGCAGATGTTTTACAACATTGTATGTAATAAGTCAGTGGAAACGGTGGAAACGAATCTTGTGATTGTCTCCTTTTGGTTGAATTTGCATTAATAAGAGGTCTTTTCAAAAGGAACGGCTATTCATGATACACAGGTGATCGTACAGTTGCATGCATCTATGCAGCTGCCATAGGATGATGTAGAAAATTATGTCAAATGGAAGACTGGTGGAGGACTATTCAAGTGGACATTATATGAAGAAAAAGTCAAGTATAGAAACTGAGAGATGCAAGTTTTCAAAATGATGGGACTGCAGCAAGAAACTGGAAGAAAAAAACAGAACAAAGGATAGAATGTGAATCAGTAAATGGAGGTTTTGAGAAAAACTATTTACCAAACACTACTGCAACCACACCCATGCTTCCAGTGCAACTGGATCCATCACTATCTGAGTGAGTGAGTGAGTGAGTGAGTGAGTGAGTGAGTGAGTGAGTGAGTGAGTGTGTGTGTGTGTGTGTGTTCCCCACACACACCTGTCAGCCAGCATAGCCATTATCCCAGAGATGTTAAACAGAAATAGCTGAGATTACCCTATCTTTCTTCTCCTCCATATCTCTACCTTTCTTCTTACTCACAGTCATCTCCTTCCTTCACATCTCTCGCCCCTCCACCTTCCCTTTCAGCCTCTGACTCAATCCTTCTTTCTGCTGCTGTCATTTCATTCTTCCTTCCACCTGACTTCTGATCTCTTCTGAACTTGTTTTGTCCTTATTGCTTCTACTGTTGTGTTTAGTCCCTTCTCTTTTGCTTGTACCATGTAGGTCCTTCCTGTTCAGCAAAGAGGGGAACCCCAACAAGCGTAATGTGCACAATGAGACGTGCCTCCATGTGCTGTGCCAAGGCCCGCAGATCTTGCTGCTGCCAGAGGGAGCGCTGTCACCACGACTGGCCCGACCACAGAGGGATGAGCTACGCCGTGCGGACTGCCTGCAGGTACATAGACACAACAATTCTAGCGTAGTGTTGACATTTAGAGTACATGCTAGTATGAAAAAATGCATAAAGTGACTGCTGTTGACTTACAAATAATGTTTTGGGTGCATGTATTTGTGGGCCAGATGATCCTGAGCTGGACCGGGGCCAGGCTGGAGGGAGGCCAGTACGAAAAGGCTAATGTCAATGCCACCGACAACCACCACAGCACCTGTCTGCACTACGCTGCTGCTGCAGGCATGAAGAGCTGTGTGGAGGTGAGAGGAAGTGTGCGCACAGCACTCACACTGACATTAGGATGAGCTGTCATTTGTGTGGAGCAGATCCGTTTGTTTGTTCAGATTGGATTTGAAAAAGCTTTTACAGCCGGTAAATCCACAGACATTATTGCATCTCTTCCCACATCAGGAGCATCTGCTTTGTGTTTTCATTACTGTCAGATCCAAGTAACGCTTTTCCCCTTGTTTATAAAGATTTTGAATTAGAAAGAAAATGCACTTCCTGAATTAAAGGAAAATTGAGTTCATCTCTGATATAGACAGCCTGGGGGAAAAAATAACCCTGGTAATATCCTGTAAGATAAAAAGTTTGAACACATTTCTCTTCACCTCTATGTTCCATCTCTTTGTTCCTCATCTATTTGTCTTTTATAAACAGTCTGTTTGCACCTCTGTTGCGATGTTTTAAATCTTCTCCATTTTATTAAGCCTTCTTTTGACTCCTGTTGTATTTGCTCATTCTCACTTCCTGCCTTCCCTCTTCTTGTCATTTTTATGCCTCCATGGTGGCGATAGCTTTAGTCGTCCCTGGTAGGCTAGTGGTTAAGGTGCAGCACTCTCGCCGCTGTGGCCCAGGTTCAAATCAGGGTTGCGTCAGGAAGGGCATCCGGCGTAAAACACATGCCAAATGTCAACATGCGAGTCATCAGTGTGGCGATTCGCTGTGGCGACCCCTAAACAGGAAAAGCCAAAAGTGACTTTCTTTCATGGTGGCGATAGCTGTAGCTGGAGGCATTATGTTTCCTGGTTCTATGTTCATTCCATTCTTGTGAACATGACATCTCAGAAACATTTGATTTGATTTGATTTGATTTATTCATTCAAGCATGTAAAACAGTTGATATGTCAACACATGTAATTTCACACATATCCAACAATAATAATCCAATATCAATTTACTTATACCTAGTACATGCTTGAACGAAGTAGGAAGAAGTTAGACTTATCTAGTCCTACCCCATGACATCATCTTACAACTTTTAAGTCCTAAGCAATATCTCTACATACCTTTATATTTATGTTTAAACTCGTCAATTCTATTACTATTTTTTATGTCCACACTTAAATTATTCCATAGTTTTACCCCACTTATGGAAATACAAAATCTTTTTTTGGTTGGACGTATAGCATGAATTTTTAAATTTAACTGACCCCTTAGATTGTATCCCCCTTCCCTTTCATTAAATAGTTTTTGAATTCCACCAGGTAATAAATTGTTCCTGGCTTTATACATAAACACAGCAGTCTTATATCCCACTATATCCAAAAATTTTAACAATTTAGACTGTATGAAAGCTGCATTGGTGTGATCCCTATACCCCATCTTATGCACAGTTCTTATCGCTCTTTTTTGTAATATATACAATGGTTGAAGTGAGCTTTTGTATGTATTTCCCCAGTTTTCAACGCCATACTCTAAGTATGGTAAGATCAATGAAGAATACAGAATCCGTAGTGCTCTCCTGTCCAAAATATATCTAACCCTTGCCAATATCGAAATTTTTTTTTGCTATTTTATGCTGAATATGTTTGATATGAGATTTCCAGGAAAATTTGTCATCAACTATGACACCTAGAAATTTGATTTGATCTTGAGGGAATTTCTTCAACTTTTGCACAAATGTCCACTTGGATTCAAGGATGAAAAGATTAGATTTTGGTTGTCAAAAGGTCCAAAGTCACTGTATCCTAAAGTCTGTACCATCCCCATAAATTTGACTGATTGGTGGAGGCATATAGCCCCGAAGCAATAATTCCACTTGTCCCTTTTTCTTTCCATGTCACTGTCCACGTCCCCTTCTCGTATTTCTTTTCTCTTTTCTAACATTACATCTTTGTGTACACTTTCTCTTTTTGTCCCTCCTGCTGTTTTTTTGTTGTCTTTTGATGTACATTCCTTCCATTTCTTGTTTCTCTTAATTATACCATGTTTTTCAGTTTTCTCAAATTTTTTGTGGTCTCTCTTCTCTTCCTGTCTCTAGCTGCTAATACAGAGCGAAGCGGACCTTTTTGTGGAGGATGAGGAGAAGTTGACCCCATGTGACCATGCCGAGCGGCATCACCACACTGAGCTGGCCCTCAACCTGGAATCACAGATGGTTTTTTCCTCCTCTTCCACTCAGCAGTCAAACACAGATGCACACGGTCAAACCAACCTGTTGCAATATAA